TTTACAAACTGCCACTAGTGTTATGCATTTCAATCTAGTTTAAGTACTTGGCTAGGAGCAATTCTACAGTGATTAGAAAGAATTACACTCAAGTGAGTGCTCTAGTTCGGGAAGTTGTTATTAAAGAGAATCGCTATGGCTTCCTTGGAAGGAAGGGGGAACCGGCTATTCTGATCTCCAATCTCTCTCTGGAAGACTCTTCACTACCTCAAAAATCACTTGAAGAGATGATCTGGCTATGTATACATGTGGCTCCAATGGTTAGCTAAGGCTAGTTTTTTGAAAAACTATCAAACCAAGTCAACTAGGTCGCTAGCCAGTCGATTGGAGCCACTTAAGTTGAAAATTTGAAGGTCCCACAATTCACGGGATAACTTTGGGACAAAATCCCTAGATATGAGGAGGAAATCAAGCTATCATTAATAGCTTGGAAGACTTTGAATGCATATGCAATTGTCACCCTTATAAATAGGAGTCTTCATCACTTACACATAACACAATGTAATTCAAAACATCAATAAGTGTGAAAGCCCCTCTGGTTATTGTGTCCATGGATGTAAGCCTGATAGCCAAAACCACGTAAATGCATGTCACTCTATAGTAGATCGACATACTTTGATCTGTATGTAGAATTTCTATAATGGGCAGGTTAGGCGGGGAGGTTGTGTTTTTGTTACTCAAATCCTTGACGGCCAGCTTTACTGTTGTGCCAAGGCCTATAGAGTTTTTAAAATAATAATAATAACAACAACAACAACAAAGAAAATCCTAGTCCGGCACCACATTTGGTGCCCGAAATTTCACATTCGTTTCGCCATAGAAAAAGTCTGGCACCGCATGTGGTGATCTTAGTTTCTTTTTTGTTTTACCACTTGAAAATTTCTATCCAAACAGAACAAAATAAAAAGTACCAGTTATCGATCATCTTCCATGGCAGTTGTCGCCATCTCCAATCTTTTGTCTTTGACTCCTTGTTTTGTTGTCAAGATCTTTTTTGGCACACGAGACATTGACAATTTTGTATAGTTCATCCTTTTTTTGTCACCAATTACAATTTTTCTTGGTGAAATTGCCTACTACATTATTGGCTTTCAGTAGAATTGAGAGATAGCAAGAAGTAGACGGAAGTGAGAGAGAGAGAGAGAAAGAATAAATACTAAGAAGGAGAGAAAGTGGTAAGAGAGACAAAGTAGGAGAGAGTTGAAACCAAGAAAAAGGAAAGAAATGGACGAGAGAAAAAAATAGAGAAAGAAAAAAAGAGAGAAAAGGAGTCTTGTTGTACTTAGCAAACATTTGAAATGTCATATTCAAGGATCCAAATTTCGTTTTAGTGCATTGTTTTAATCACCTAGGAAACGGAAATATTCAACCTGTTTTGAAAATATAATTAAAAAAAATAAAAAATTTAAGAATTATTTTTTCAAAACATTGGTCAAAATATACCAAAATATCTTAGAATATCTTAAAACATTCCAAAATAATTATGCAAATACAATGAAATATAACAAAATATTTCGAAACGTTATGAAACACTTCGAAGTATTAGAATTTCGATTTCATCACTGATTCGTTTCGGTCTCCTTGAAAACGAAAACGTTTCGACCGTTTCAAAATGATATTTTAATCCTTGGTCAGATTTTTGTTTAACTTTGTTATGTATATATTGCACAGGTACATGATTTTCAACCACCATTGACAATTTGCTCAAGTTTCCTGATATTTTGTGTTAGCCTCCAAATCTTTTCTCAAATATCACATTTTAGATTCTTATTGTCATATGAATATATTTTTCAAATTTTTGTTTATATCCAATCGAATTTCCCATTTATTCCAATAAGGCCCATGTCCCTTTTAAGCCCAAGATTGCGAACAGGGTCATTCGTTGTATTTGTCTTTCTTGTGTTTGCATGGCGTTCATTCCATGCACACGTTTTAATGTCTTGCACACGTTTTATTGTCTTGCACAACGTTTATCCATGCATGTTTTCTCTCTTTTGTCATTTAAGAAGTGTTTATCAAGATATTTGCAACGTTGGCAGATTCAACACAAAATATCATCCATGTAAATTAAATTGCCGCAATTTCTGCCACTTCAACAAAGCCACACTCTCGACCAATTTTGCATGGTGAGTCATCCGTGCAAGTTCACCCGCCGAAGTCTCGGCAATTTCAAGTAAGTTGTAGTCCCTGTAGCATCAATAGTGTCGCTGTTTGTGCAACCATTTCATTCTTCAGTTCAAGTTGGACACTTGCTTCACCTTTGCATCTACCAACTTGAGGGCTGTAATTCACGCGATAACTTTGTGGGACAAAAAGGTAGGAAATAAGGCATCATTAATGGCTTGAAGACTTTGTACGCATACTCAATTTTCACCCCATAAATAGGAGTGTTCTACTTGTATCGATTACACACAACTATAATGGTATTCAAAACCTCAATATGAGTGGAAGCACTTCTTGGCATTAGGTCCATGGATGTAGGCCTAATAGTTCAAACCATGTAAATTCGTGTGTTCCTCCTATTTTCTCATTTCAGAACCTCAATCTCTCCTCATCTAAAATTTATCAAGTTAGCTGCCTTTTGCTCCAGAAACTGTAGTTTAATGCAATTTCAATTAGAATAAGCCACCCAATGGCTGGGGAAGTGCGTCTGCACTAAAAATAATATCATATGAACTACTTTCGGTGAGCTTCTAATTTGGATGTTGAAGTCAACCTTGTTGCGACGCGATTGAACTTCTTTGATGTGAAGCTTCTTGAATCTCCCAAAGCTTGTTGATGTTTGCACTGGCTCTCCAAATGATGTATTCTCCATTTTTTGAACCCTAAAAATCGTAGAAGTCATAAAGTTGCCAATCCTAAGGTCTTAGACCTAATTGCCACTTTTAAGAAGGTGGTGTGTATATTTTGAACTAGTGTTAGACACCGAACCTTCTCGAACACGTGTTTGGTGCTATTTTGGTTGTGTCCAACATTTAAGAAATAAAAATTGTAATTTAGGACACGTGTCCAACAACTCCTTGTGCAACATGTCTTGGTCTTTTTAGGTCGAGACTTTTACCAAGTGTAAACATGTGGTTAACACTTCTTGGATACTTGTTAATGAGTGATTATCACAATTTAACAATTTGATATTTACCTATCTAATACCATGGAATGAATATATAATTACGCATAATAATTAGAATGGCATGTAGTTACAATAAAATTTATTGAAATTGTGAAAAGGCACAAAAATGTTTTATTGAAGAAGAGGGCTTGGAAACAAAATATCTCAAAACAATCAATCTAAAAAGAAGAGGGCTTGGGAGAATGATAGAGATATTGTAATTATTTATGCTTGCTACACCATCTATAAAAAATGGTGATTGTCAACTATAAGGGTCTTTGGGCCAAAAATTCGTGTTACTTTATATATATAAAGATTAAGTTTATGATACGTAGTGATTTTGTTATATTTAAATAACGTATTTCACTCTAAATTGATATTTATGACTAGTGTGTCCTAGCCATGTCCGAAACATTTTTCAGGATTTACTATGTTGTTGTGTTAGTGTTGTACCGTGTTCATATCTAGTGTCTATGTCTCTGCTTCATAGACTTGCCTAACAACAACTAAAAATAATATCCAATAAAAATATTGCTTTGTTGCCTAATTCTCAAGGATATACTAGTCTGTTCTATTTCAATGCAATCTAGATGAGATTGAGTAGTTTTTTCTCTTCCCTTATCTCACACAATTCTTACTCCATCAAGAAACCCTAGACTCTACTTTCCCCATCAACCTTTTTTTTTTTAACTTCAACCCATCACTGTAACATTTTGTCCTGCACAAAATATGGGAATTTTACCTTAGTAATTACTCCTCAAAAGAAGGTTGTAACTTGTATCACTTAAAACTTAAGAAGCTTCTTAATAACTCTCAAAATTTAATTATTCTATGTACACTGAATTGAAAGATTACATTATCATTATAGGCTACTGGATATCTCGTAGTCAAAGATCAAAATATCGTTTCGAAACGGTCGAAACATCCGAAACGTTTTCGTTTCCAAGAAGACTGAAACAAATGAGGAATGAAATTAAAATTCTAACACTTCGGGGTGATCCATAATGTTTCGAAATGTTTTATTATATTTCAATGCATTTGCACAATTATTTCGGATTATTTCAAGGTATTTCAAGATATTTTTGTATATTTCGACCAATGGTTTGAAAAAATAATTCTTAAATTTTTATTTATTTTTTAATATGGTTTTTGAAACAAAACGAAACGAAACGAAAATTTGATCCTTGCTCCTAGTTATACTCGAATTGAGATTTACAATTTTCGAACTCTTAAAAACGTAATTGTAATACTAATATTGGTGAAATGAGGAAGACATAGAACCACCAAATATCAGAACTTGACCGAAAGAGAAATTGGACACTTGCTACTTTCCATTTTCTAGCAATTATGCCAAAACACCTGACTTAAACTAATAAGATGAAAACAAGATAATCTCAGCGGCTTATTAATTTAAAAACTCACAAATATCAGACTCTATAACCCTAAGCATTATTAAATAAAGTCAAACCGTGTGACTTTTAAAATTCCTGAGTTGACATTCTTGTTTCTATCTCTGCATGAGCTTATTGTGCATTACCAATATCATATATCTTTGATTTCATCATTTGGTAGCCTGATACTCCCCATGGAATTTATGATTTGTTTAGGTATAGGCCTCTGCTGCAGTTAGACAGATGATATTCGTTTAAATACATGTGAGTGTGAACCTGCACATTTATGATTGGAGGCAGGGTATTGGGGTTATGAAATTGGTAGGGGTACATTCACTTACTACTTCAGCCCATACCGTGTTATGTTGGTGTTGGTGTTGGCATTGGTGTTGATATTTGATGTCAGCATGTGTGTATCTGTGAACCCATGTACAGGCTGTAGATTTAAAGCTTTCTATTCAACCTTCTAATCCTCTGTTACCATTTTTCTGTTTGATCTCATGCTTCTGTTGGCAATCTTATTTCAGGATGATACAACATTTGAGAAGCAAAGTGCTCTATTTGCTTTGGCGATTTCAGACATTTTACTGATCAACTTGTGAGTTTGCATGTGTTTCGTTAAGTGTGGCTATGTTTTTGATAGAATGGTAGTTAACTGCAAAGTCAATGCTGGCCTATCATTTAACATAATCTTGCTGTTGAAGGCATTGGTCAAGCTTATTAGAAGTGTAAATAATGTTCCTAGAAAGTGTATTAGCTTCACAGGAAATCCTAGTGAAATTACTAGCTTTCTTACATTACTACCGTTCTTTGCATGCATATTATGAATAGCTACCGATTAGCAACAGCTATATTCTTCTCTTCGAGGCTGAAATAGGTTAATTATTGCATTTGTTATCCAGACCTGGGTGGAGCGTTAATTCTCATGTCAAGATCCTGTGGGTATGAATGACAGGCATAGTAGTTGCAGGTGTGCAGCCTGGGTTGTGGCATACTCAGTCTATGGCCACTTATAGTTAGATTGATTGGCATCAGTTTGTTGACAGGAGAGCGAATTGTTAATGCATCCATAATAGTAACAATATCTGATATGGAATCTGGTTTGATGTTTAACATGTTAAGTGATATGCCTGGATCTTTGATACAATTCATCTGTACATGAATATATAAGCGTATATACTATTGTAATTGGTTTAAATATCAAGGAGATACCTGATATTTTTATAACAGGTGGTGCCATGATATTGGTCGGGAGCAGGCTGCCAACAAACCCCTTCTGAAAACAGTATTTCAGGTACTTACTCTCATTTTTGGACCCTAGCGATGTAACCAGTTCCTCACTCGTGAAAAGGTATTCTCCACAGGTTATGATGCGTTTATTTAGTCCTCGCAAAACTACCCTTCTCTTTGTAATACGCGACAAAACAAAGGTTTGGAGTTTCATAATCCCTTTTTTGGAAAAATGTTTATCCAATGTCTAGTGTTTTGCCTTCTGAATGATCCTTTTTTGTTCCAATTTAATTATTGTCCTGCTCTTGACTGTCTCTGCAGACCCCACTTGAATATTTGGAGCCTATTCTGAGGGAAGATATTCAGAAGGTACTTTTGTGTTTGTTTTCTTGAAGCATTTTCTTTTCTTTCTCCCTCCTTGCCATACCCCACTTCTCTATTGTTTGTACTTCAGCCTTACTGTAAATGTGAACATTTTCAGATTTGGAGTACTGTTCCCAAACCCCAAGCTTACAAAAACACTCCTCTCAGCGAATTTTTCAATGCAAGAACCCCTCTCTCTCTCTCTCTCTCTCTCTCCCCGTGTTTCTGTGTATTTGTATCACTTGTGTAGCAATTCCTGTACGTGATTTAGCTTTGCTGGACTGAAGGTGGAGGTCACTGCACTATCCAGCTACGAGGAGAAGGAAGATGAGTTTAAAGAGCAGGTTATTTGTTGATTGAACATAAGTGCTTGTTATCAAGCATTATCGATCCATAAAATGAATTGGTTGTTATTTCTATTTCATTTGAATGTTTGAATTTTCTAGCACCATTCTTCTGGCCTTTAAGTGGCTCTGCCTTTGACCTATGAACATTTGCCAGACTAACAAAAAATCCAATGTAAATTATGTATGAATTTCATAGGCTTATAGCCTTAGGTGTGGTCTTCTGTAGGTTGCGCAACTCAGGCAGCGGTTTTTCCATTCTATATCTCCAGGAGGGCTTGCTGCTGATAGAAGGGGTGTTGTCCCTGCATCAGGATTTGCTTTAAGTGCACAGCAGATATGGAAAGTTATAAAAGAGAATAAGGATCTGGACCTTCCTGCTCACAAGGTACAATTGTTCTTTGCTGTAGAGTGAGAAGAAATCGTTGGACTTTTTTATATAATGCCTTATTTAATTTTGTTTGCATCATTAGATCATGGTTGCCACTGTACGGTGTGAAGAGATTGCCAATGACAAGCTCAGCCGTTTAAGATCTGATGAGGTAATCAATCTTTTATTGCCATTTTCCATCTTTTATAGAAAAATCTTCTACTAGGCAATGCTTCTTGTTTCGGCATAGGGTTGGTTGGCACTAGAGGAAGCTGTTCAAGCTGGTCCAGTGCCAGGTTTTGGGAAACGACTCAGCTCAATCTTGGAAACCTATTTTGCAGAGTAAGTTGACTTATTTCTCCAGCAATCACTGATTGCATGGCTCAGATTTGTGTGTTCAGTTCTGGTGGGATTCCATATTTCAGGCAGTTAATTACATAAATAGAAGATCAAATCTAGATTATTGGACCTTTTTGAAACTGAAACAATTTGATAAAAACATGCAACGGGAAAAATTTTACCTGTTGTACTCCCATCTTCATAATATATGACATTTCAAAATAATAATTACTCAGGGAGTGAAAGTCATGCGACCTTTTCCCTTTTTTGCAACATTAAAAAGCAATTGTTGGATCCTTACTTCTGAAATGAAGCTGCTTTCTGAATTATGTAGTGGACAAATTTGTTACTTGATCTTATTCTTCTAGGCCCTTTCTTGATCTTCTACTTCCGATACATATATTGTATAACTTCTGAATCTCACTACGACGGTTTACAATAGTTGTGGGTCTTCCACTTCCCCACTTTGTCAGTGAGCTAGCATGAATGCAGACCATTTTGAAAGTAGCATCCTTAAATTAAAGAACCAGCACCATATTAGGGACTCTAAGTTTGTGCACAATGTGACGAGGTGGTTTTAGAAGATGAGAGCTTTTGGAAACAAATGGCTATAGTCCATGGGTTGAAAGAAGGGGGCATCAATATAAAATTATTTAACAGGATGGCAAATGGGAAAAGAGCATCATAATTTATTCAAAGATCTGAGATTGGAAATGGGACCATTGTGGAGGAATGGAGTCAAATCTAGAATGAGTTGATTTAATTTTTTCTCAAAAATGTATTCACCCTGTGATGTTAGTTGGCCACACAATGAGGGATCGAATTGGTTCCTAATTGAGCATAGCAAAGCTTGATGGCTTGAAAGACGGTTTTAGATAGGGGAAGTCAACATTGCAATGTTTGAGTGTAGCAGAGAAGTCACCGGGGGCTGATGGATTTATTATGGCAATTTTTCAAGATTGTTAGGAGGTGATTAAAATTGATTTAATGGAAGTGTTTAATGAATTTTTGGAAAGGGGGCGTATACCTCCTTTATTTCTTATCCCAAAAAATGGAAATTCGTTGAGATTAAGTGATTTAGGCCAATCAACTTGGAAAGTCTTGTTCAAAGTATTGGCTATAAGGTCGAGAGATGTTTTGAATGATAACTGTTCGAAATCTCAAAGTACTTTTGTGAAAGTGAGGCAAATTTTTGATGTGACTTTAATTGCTAATGAAGTGGTGGAGTAGTACCAAGTTAAGAATAAGGAAGGATAATTTTTTTAAAAAAATTGTGAAGACATATTATCATGTAGACTGGGTTTTTTTTTTGGATTTAGTATTAGACAAGAAAGGAATTGGGCATAGATGGAGAAGGTGGATTGGTGGTTGTTGAAGTTGTAGGAATTTCTTAGTGATTGTTAATGGCAAGTTGAAAAAATGGTTTTTCAGCTTCAATGGGATGGAGGCAAAGAGATCTGTTATCTCCTCTTTTTTTTTTTAACTTTGGTAGTTGATTCTTTGACTATATTGTTAGTGAAAGCCAAGGAGTTTGATTAAGTTGAGGCATTTATGATTATAATAATGAAATTTTGGTTTCTTATCTTCAATTTTTTAATGATATTATGTTTTTTTTTTTCTGCTAGGGATAAGCAAAAAGTTCTTCATTTTTGCTCCATAGTGCAAATCTTTTATTTTATTTTGAGATTAAATATTAAGATAAGCAAGAGTTATTAAGTGGGCATCAATGCATCACAGGGTCGCTAATTTATTCATTCACTATGGCTTTCCCCGGAGCTTGTGGAATACATTATTCAACTTAATTGGTAAGTCTTGGGTTTGTCCATCTACAATGGAACAGATGTTGCAAATGAAGTATTGGAAATTTGGAAAGAAAAATAAAGCTAAAATATTATGGCATTGGTCGTTCATGGCAATTTTTTGGTGCATTTGGATAGAGAGAAATGCTAGAATCTTCGGTAATCATTCTCTTCCTTCTGAATTAGTGGGAATGATTGGTTTTTATTGCTTCACTTTGGACTAAATCTACCGGAAGTTTTAGAGGGTTGCCTTTGTCAAATCTTCAAAGGCACTGGAGGCTGGCTTTATTTTAGTTTAATTTTTAGTTTTTGTTTTTGCTTTACTCATTTACTAAGAATATCTTGCCCTTAACATTGTAGTATGCGCTTGATCTCTTCCTATAATAAAATGCTTCTTTTATCAAAAAAAAAAAAAAATGAATCACAGGATGAACTTGGGGTGTACTACTGATAAATGGCCCCTGAAGTACCTTGATTTGTTTTTAGGAAAAAAATACAAGATCTAACAATTATTGGGATTCAGTGGTTGGGAAAATTCATTAGAAGTTGGATGGATGAAAAAAAAAGCATTGTTGTCAAAGGAGGTAGATTAAATTTACTAAGTGCTTTCATGCATCCCTGTTTATGATATGTTTCCATTAAAAGTGTTTTAGAAAGTGGCAAGAAGGATTTAAAGAATGATGAGAGAGTTTTTGTAAAGGATATTGGGGAAGGGAAAAAGGATATTGTGGTAAAGTGGGAAATAGTATCTAGACCTAGGATAAAGGGTTTTGGTTATTGGATATGTTGGTGCTTGAAACATGGCCTTTATGGGAAGATGGTTGTGCAGATTTCCTTCATGTCTGATTCTTTTGTCTCACTTGCCTCCGAATATGAGTTCCGATCTCATCGTAGAAGGCAGACCGAGGATTCTGACGAGGTCGAGGATCTAAGGGATATGGGAGAGGAGAGGGACAGTTTTTCTGGGGTTGATGTCCTCGATGCCCAAGCTGCTGGGGTTGAGACTCCCTTGCTCCTTCCAAGGCCACCTATGAGACCCTAGAAATTCCAAAAAGAGGAGATGTAGAAAGGGCGTAGTTGAGACCCCCAGCAGTGCTAGGGATGCCAAGGTCAATCCGAGCGCCTGGCCCAGCAAAGTCACCCCTCCTCTTATGGGTGCTCTTTCTACCAATTTGGCTTTCCCAAGGACATGCACTTCTGGAGTCCCAGCGTGGACAACCAATATAACACCGTGATGCTTGAGAAGACATGCTTCTTCACCGCTTCTTTTGAGAACAATCTCATATGCACCGCTTCTTTCGAGACATGCTTCTTCCCTATGCACCCTTTCCTCAAGTCTGTCCTTTAGCCCTTCAACGTTTGTTCAACCCAACTTTCTCCCAATGTTTGGGATAGTTTGGTAGGGCTCATGGTCTTTTTTAAGAAGAACGGTTTGGCCATCCCTCCTTCAGTTCCTCTACTCATGCATTTTTTCAATATCAAGTTTTCTCCCGCCGACGGTTTTTTTTAATATTTCGAAATGGGTTAAGACCTAACATCTAATCACCGACCTCCATAGCTCGCACAAAAGTTGGAAAAACCTCTTCTTTTTTTTTTATCTAGAAAAGAGTGGGAGTTCAATCTGAGGGACGCATCTGACACAGCATGTGATGTTTTAAGGCATGCTGTTATTAAAAGTACCTATGGAATTCATGATAATTGTTGGAATACTCGTGGTTAATCAGGGGAATACTCATAGTCCGTGGAAATACTTATCTCAGGGTTAATCTTGTTTAGTCCAGTCAAATTACTTCATTTTCTTCATCATTTCCTCCTTTGGATCGTCTCTCCCGATCTCATTATGGTTCAAATGCTTTTATGCTGCCTGGCTTTTCATTTTCCTTAAGTTGGTGTTTTAATTTCATTAGAAACCTTATGCTTAGACAAAACATTCCTAATAAAAGGGGATGAGCTATTTTTTCTTCTGGTTATTCTTATTTCTTATTTTGGCATCTTAATTGATGACCACTTTATACCGCAGTTGGAACCTTTCAAGATGATCTGGAAAGTGAATGTGTTTATTAAAGTTCAACTATTTTCTTGGACTGTCGCTCAAAAGAGAGATGATAGTGATAACTCAGCTTCGAATGAGGGTACCTCTTTGCTTCTATACTGGTGCATTATGTGCAAAAGGAGTGAGTAGAGTATTGATGTTTCTGTCTTCGTTGTGCCTTTTCCTTCGCTTTATGGAATACATTGTTTGGGTTAGTGGAGTTGTTGGATTGTTCCAGGTTCTTTTAGGGAGATGTTTGAAATTGAGTTATGGGATTTTGGAAGGAGTAAAAAGCTAAATCCCTTTGGAGATGAGCAGTCGTGGCTACCTTTAGGCATATTTGGCTCGAGAGAGATCAAAGAATTTCTTCGAAGACAAAAGTGAGAAGCTGGATTGTATTTTGGAAAGAATATGCTTCTCGGCTGCATTTTGGGTCTTCGAGTAGTACCCTCACTTTTTTGGGAATTCCGTGGTTCTTGATTAGGCGGGATTGGAAATCCGTGTGCGATATGTAATTTTTTAATTATATGTTTTCATTTACTTTTGTGTTATCCATATTAAAGGACTTCTCTTCCCTCGTGTAATCCTATTTCAATATTTATAAAATGTATTTGGTTGATTACAAAAAGAAAAAAAAATGTTGTAGGGAAAAAAGTGGCAGAAACATTCTCTTGGTTTGAAACAAGTGATAGGAAGTTGATATCAATTTATTCTCTGAGTAGATTGGTATCTAATCTAGCCTCAGATTTACTGGAATGCTGGCTAATGCAAGTTTAGCTTTTTCAAGTTTTTGTTGTTTCAATGCCCTATTATTGGGTTTTATAGTATGCAACTAAATACCGACATAAAAGTAATGTAGATAAGGAATGCTTACGTTATGCAGAGTACTTTTATATTAAAATCCATATATTTGTCGAGTTGGTACCTTGGTGTTTAGCAACGTTGGTACTTGTCAGGGACTAGGACGTTTTTCTTTTTGCTCTTCTTTGAATTACAACAAAATTCACTTGTCTAGAATTCTTACTTCTATCTTAACAGTTAGCAAGAGTATATAACTCATACACATATTAGAATATGGAAGAAGCATCTGAGATCTAGGTGGTGTAACTGGAGAGATTATGAATTTGTATATCTAAATTTGAAAAGAAGAAAGATGAAAATGAGGTTCTTTACAGATTTGGTGCAGTGGGTCGTGAGGGAGAAAGTACAAGAGTAAGTGTGATGAGCAGTTCAGTAAGTACTACACAATCGCAGAAAAAAGAACATCTTACATGGGTTGGCAAAATGTTTAGACTGGATGAAGCCCTCGCAAACTTCAATGAGAATTGTATGCTCAAATAAAAGGTTCTTGGAAAATCAAGAGTGGGTGCATTGTATGGGAAAGAAAGAGAAGGGCAATGAGGTGGTCCAATCAGCCATGCATCAAAACAAATCAAGGGAGGCATACTGAAAGGATTTACAATTTGACCTACATTTTAGAAACACGGAAAGCTTTGAAGAACATAACGTGACTGTCATTGGAGGTAAGAAGTTGTTAGGACTTAGGAAGTTCAACTGAAGAGCTAAGTTGGCTACCTGGAATGGTAGACAACAATTTAGATGTTTTTTTTATAGCGCGGTAAAATGAGGACAAGCCTTAGAAGCTACCGAGTTGAGCGCAACCGCTTTGGTACTTATGGTATCTAAAGTCGAAACTGTATATCGACAATGGTAGTATTTAAGTAATGAGTCAATAATATCTAACATTTTTGATGAGGACTGAGTCATGAAGCAATACTGGTAGCCAATTATTTTCAATTGTATCTCCAAGTTTCATAGAAGTTGCACCCTAAAAACTACCATTCTTTCCTTTGGTGATTAGTGGATTGTCCTTTTGATCTTTATTTCTTGTGTCTTGTTTTGTTGCTTTGTCTAGTATGGATTACCCTAGGCATAGACAAGATAGTAGCCTACTTCAGAGAACTTCTGAGTTAGAGTCTCGGTAATTGGCCGGTACACGGGGATAGAGGAATTGCATTTGTTGGGGAGGGTCAGATCATGATCTTAGAACCTAGAAACACATTTAAGCGAGAAAATCTAATTAAAATTAGAATTACTGCAAGAAACAGTTGATCTTTATTCTTTGACTCCCTATGTTGTGTATGTTTCCAATACACAAACTTGAACTATATCGTATTGATTCTAATTCGAGTCTGACCAAAAGTACAAAAGAATCTCAATTTTTAAACCTATTATTCTCAGCACTTCATTGATGTTGTTCTACTATTTTCTCCAAGTGACTTACACGTAAGTTGTTGGAAAACTTCTTTTATTGCTTAGCAAGCTGCGGAGCTAGTGTTCCTGTTTCATATTGTTTCTGAAGCTCTATTTTTTCTCATCTAATCTTATGTGTTATTTTTCATTAGATATGACCTGGAGGCTAGCTACTTTGATGAAGGTGTAAGAAATGCAAAGCGGCAGCAGTTGGTGTTGAAAATGTTGCAGGTGAGGCCGCCATACACTGTTTTTAATGCTGTAATAGTAGATTACAAGCAGATTAGACAAATATCTTACTGAGTTGTTGAAACATTGCTTTGGTGTGGGAGTTAATATTTTTCAAAAAAAGAGGAAAGAAGAAAAAGAGAGGGACAAAGAGATACTTATTAAGATAAACTAAGTATGTATTACAAAACGTTAAAATGAAAGACTACACAATAACAGGCTTATATACTAGCCTATACTAGGGCAAACCATAGTAACATAAATGGCTAATCTACCCCTAATGCTAATGTATTAGATTACAATGGGGACATTTTGGAGTAAATCATTATTATGATTAATTACCACGTGTTCAGCTCAAGATGCCTTTAAACACTTATACAAAAAAACTTTTCTAGATTGTTCCTTCCTTCTACTATGGAGTTGATCTATTTCTTTACGAAATCTCATACCATTATGCGCTTTTATTTTCTTTTTGAAAAACTCTTGATATTTTATGTTACCACATCATGAATTTGAAAGGGGTGTTAGAGTATTTTAGTATTAGGGGTAGTCTAGTCCTTTTCTAGTATTGTTTTGTCCTACTATAAAAGGATTCCTCAAAATAACGAAATAACAAGTTAGTGTTACACTTGGAGGTTAGGTTTATAATTTGGAATTATGTGGATCATGATTTGATTTGGGTTTGAGTTACAATCTAGGATTGGAAATTTAAGGAATCTGGATAGTGAACCCACCCCATTTCAAGTCATACGGCCCCGGTTCATGGAACGCAATTGGTATCTATTATCCCGAAGTTAAAACTATATTATTGATATTAAGGCTTAAAGAAGAGAACGGAGAAAGAGAGAAGACAAAGCTGAAAGGAAAAATCTGTGTGGTTAATGTTGTGATGGGAATCGTGTAGTAATTGAATAGATATTATAGATGAATTATGATAATTATTTAGATACTTTTAATATTTATCTTTTAAGTAATTTCTTTTAACTTTTAAGAGTTTAGTTGTCATTTTGATTATTTATTTATTTTAGGGTTTGTGATCTCCTTATATATATAGGATTTATGAACTCCTTATATATATAGGGGATACATATTTGTTGTGAGACTAGATTTTGATTATTGATTATTGATATTGAATCTTGGTGTTGCTTCTTCCTCAAATTTTCATCCCCCTCTTCTTTTCTTCTCATCCTCTTTTTCTTCCCTTTCTCATCCCTAGTACGATCTACATCAATTTGGTATCAAAGTCCAACTTCGATTCGTACAAACCACCAAAAAAAAAAAAAACTACTGTTCACTGTTCTCCGAAATCACTGTTCACGTGTGCACTGTTCATCCGTACATTGTTCATTGAAAATATTATTCATCACCATAAGAAAAAAAAAAACAGAACTGTCCTAGCAGATTTAGAAAATTATAGCAACATCCCAGCTGTTCCAGAAATTACAGAAACACTCTAAAAAGTTCCAGAAATTGCAGAACTACCACCAGAAGTTTCAGAATTGCAGAAACATCACCCCAAAAGTTACAAAAATTGCAGAATCTTGAACGATCATTGGTCTTGAAAATTGTGAAAAAGTCTGTTGAGTCTACACCTATGCAGGATATTAAGCCAATGGAGTCATTTATTGCAGAATCTACTAGTGACTATTATGTGTCTACTTGTCCAAGTCATCATGACTTTGTTACAGATTTTTCCCAACCTGAGATTGCTGACATTGTTCTAGATTCTGCCCCACTTGAGAGTGTTAACTTTGATTCTTTGTCTACTATCAAGTGTTCAATTGAGTCTGTATTTTCTTATTTTTAGCACCAGGGTGTTATAGTTACTCATTTGTCATTGATGCCTTGTCCCACTGAATGCCTTGTGTTGAAACCTAATGATAATTGTTTTGCTATTTTTGAGTTTAGATCTAATGCTTATTTGCTTAATTTTTCATTGAATGTTAGTATTAGTCGAAATTTTTATTTGGACATGCTACTTAATTAAGGTACTCCAGAGCCTCCTATTTTGTTATCAGGTGTTTCTATTGGTGGAATTGCTTCTTCCTCAGCATTAGCTCCAGTTCTTATCTTTCCACTTTCATTGCGTATTTCGGGGCAAATAGATGATGTGCTACATGACCAGATTTATATTGCTACACATGGAGATTCTTGCATTTATTCTGATTGATGGAAAGATATTGATGATTCTTTTATTCTAGATAAGGCATTATGTCATCTTCATCCTGCTCTCTTAGGGTACTTCTATTTTGAAGACTCTCCGGAGGAGAGTTTTTTTCAACCGGAAGAGAATGATGGGGATCGTGTAGGAATTGGATAGATATTATAGATTAATTATGATAATTATTTAGATACTTTTAATATTTATCTTTTAACTTTTAAGGGTTTAGTTGTTATTTTGATTATTTATTTATTTTAGGGTTTGTGATCTCCTTATATATATATATAGGATTTGTGAACTCTTTATATATATAGGGGATACATATTTGTTGTGAGACTAAACTTTGATTATTGATTATTGAATCTTGATGTTGTTTCTTCCTCAAATTTTCTCTCTATTCTCATCCCCTTCTTCTTCTTTTCTCATCCCTTTTTTCTTCTCTTTCTCATCCCTAATTCTTTCCTAATACGATTTACATCATGTGGCCCTACACCCTTTTATTTATATTGAACAATATCTTGGGTAAGTACAATATTACCCTACACCAGCTTTTGCTGATAAACATAAAAAATAAGAACTCTAACACCCGATATTTATGGTCTTCCTATCTTAATGAGTGGGAATGTCTATGGTGAAAATCATGTGTCCATGCCCACAAGTTATAGACTCTTTACACAAAACTCTGGAAATATCACCTAGGGTCAGCAATATTTTAAACTATAAGCCATTATTTCTTGTATGCTGTCTTGATTTACAAATGATTTTTCTCTTCCCCTTGCCTAACATTATTTTCTTTCTCATGTAAGATTTTGCCAAGGAAATAACATTAATTAAGTTTTACCTATCAAGATGTAAGCCTTTTGGTTAAGAAAATTCATATCATCTTGTGTTTTCCAATTTCGCAATGTATCATCCTTGTTCACTAGTGGTAATTCTGACAGTATGTTTCTTTTTTGTTTGCTTAAAAAAAATATATATATATATTTTGAATTCATTTTTACTGTTTTAATGAGGCATTTATCACACTATTTTATGTATTCTGCAGATGGTGCATCATTCTTATGTTGCTTTGTTGGGACATCTCCGTTCTAAAGCTCTTGAAAATTTTAGAACTAAACTGGAACAATCATTGCACAGAGGAGAAGGTTTTGCTGCATTTGTTCGTATATGTACTCAGTCTTCCATGCTTGAGTTCGATCGGGGGTGTGCAGGTATTGTCGCATATAAACATTGGCATGCACCTGTATATGCTCATGCATACATCTAGATGGTACAGTCATATGCTTATTTTCAACTTTATTCTGCATTGCAATATAGTTTTGTGTTGCCTTCTACATCAAATCATCCAAATCACTCATAGCTGTTCTTATGTCTGTTAATGTAACTTCACTCTTACATCTTAGAACTCTATTGTTTTGTCATATATGGTTTGTTAATTTGCATAGAAGCAAAGGTTTCAAACTAAAACCTATTGAGAAAACAATATGGTGTTTCTTTCCCTTCCCTACTCCCTGGTCCCAACAGATATCCACTCACCCACCCACCCCAACAAAAACAAAAGTCAATGGTTTTGTCTTTAGAGACCTACCATTCTATGGTATTTCAAGTTGGATTTCTCGAATTGAGAGATTGTTTTAACATGTGTGGTTAGAAAACACATTCCAACTTGAATAGAAATCCTAATGTGATTATACAAAGGCTTCTATGGTATTTATGTTACTTATTGTTGAAGTTATGCTTGGGCACACTTGAGAAAGTGTTGTCACATTCTACAGTTTAAGTCGCTAGAATACTTCTTGAAAGAAATCCTGGTCATGTTGAACATGCCCTCTGACATCTCGGGCATTAGACCTACTTGTCTTTCTCCTCTTTACATATGTACATGTTGGACTAGTCTTCAATACAAAAGATTTGACTAGATGATGAAAAATATAAAAGAAAGCGATTATACAATAAGGAATCAGGAATTTGATTACTATTTCTCACTTCCCATTTCAAATGGGGTGAGGAGTAAAAGTCATTTGCATTTAGTTTGAGAATGGGAAGGAAGAAAAAGAAGATAATGTATAGTTGGGTTCTTCCGTTCTGCTATAGAAATTTAGATGCAAAATGCAGGAGAAGGTTGCCAAAGTTATTTGATCGGGAGAACTTATGATGTGACTTCTTTTACTAGGAGGTCCAGGGAATTTACTCTGGGTATTATGGTATCACTTTGGAATATTATTGTTGTCAGAGATACTTATATTAACCACCAGGGGCACAGCTACCCTTAGGGGAGAGGCCCAGAGGGGGCACTTGCCCCCACTGATTTTGGAAAATTGTTACCTGTGTAATGTTATGAACTACATAATTTTACACATTTGCCCCCCTTAATATTTTTTTAAATGTATATAGTGGTTCTAGTCTCTTTTTTTTTAATAAGTTAGTGGTCCATTGCCCCCTAAAATAACTATTTTATTTTTGAATTGAGTACAATAAATATGAAATATCGTAACCTATTGATATATTGATCAAAGACAATATAGTTTTCCTACCTCACAAAATGCCCTCTTTATTTACATGAAAAAAAAAAAAAAATTCCCTCTATTTTTGCAAACAATTGTATAGTCGTATCATACCCTTTCTCAGTAAGTTATTACTGTGTAACCAAGTAATTTTATTATTATTATTATTAAAGGGGTAAAATAATAATTAATTGTAAATATAAAGGTCAAAAACGTAAATTTCTAAACTATAAATTTATATATATATATATATATATATATATATAAGTGTGGAAGACTTTAGTCTTCCACTTTTTCTTCCTCCAGCCGGCTGCCGAGTGAGTGAGAGAGAGAGAAGAATTTTTTTTTCTTTATTTTCCTCCTTTCTTCTTTTTCAGATCTACGAAGATTGGATTATTTAATCGTTTTGGGCCAAGAATTAAAGTTGCTCTACTCAGCAAGAACTACGCACTCACACCAAATATTGTATTTTTCTCTGAAAGAATATCAAAGACGATAATCTAGGCCTAAAGTTTGGGAAGTTAAATTGGGCTTCCTCGAAATTCCAGTACGTGGGCTCACGCTACGAGAGATAGAGTTTCCCCTATTTAGATTTACTTTCAACCTAAAATATGGCATATGAAATGGGTAGGCTATGGGTGTATCACATGTTAGGTCTTGATTAGTGTAACTAGTGGGTCAAATATATGATTTATAATTAACTTTGTAATTATAAAATTCTATTATGATTAACTTGGTGTAAGTTAATGTTAGTGGTTTAAAGCATGTTAATTGTACATTAGCATTATTTTATGTGTTAAATGGCATATTAAGTTTAATAAAATTATTAATTTGTTATGTGATTATGGAATAATATGTATGTTAAATGATTATTTAACATATAATTATTGTGGTGGACTTGTGCTTATGTTTATAGAATTGATAAACATGTTGCCATGTTGAAAATGTCATTATATTGTATTCTTTATGTAATGAACATTGTAAATGGTACCAAAGGCAATTGCACATTGAAATGTCATTATGCATGGGTTACATTACATTCATGGCCATTGACATGGGTGGGAGTGTGTGCATAGGATGAAATCAATCACCACATAGGTGGTTGATTGTGGGCTCGGAAAAGTCGCACCAAAGTCCAGCTGAGTCACACAGAAAATTAATGGATAAACATGTCGGGGATAGCAAGAAGGGCTAGATTCTCTCTCAGGTGCAAGACCCGCTTACTTGGTTTATATACTTTCCGGCGGTGAAATTCCAGAAAAGTGTAACGGCCAAAACAGAGCCGCAGGTGGGATGTCCTGAGAATCCATTGATAGCTGGTGTCCCATTGGTGTAATACCATAAATCATCTCCCCACAAAGATACAAGAAAATAAATTAATTAGTCATTGAGTGTACATAACACTAATGACGGGGTTTAGAATGCCCGGATACATACGCATGACATTACATGTGTTGTAGGAGCTCAGGATGAGGCTCGGTGTTGGTATTGTGTTTGTGAGTCTCATCTCAAGGCATGACATAATTTATGACATTTGTTCATAATAGACATATTTGAATGATTGCATGAAATGATTGTTGTATGTAACATTTCATATGCATTTAGGTTGAGAGGTATTCTCTATAGGAGTTACCCTATTGAGCATTGGTTCACCCTTTATGGGAACATTTTTTAGCTATTGCACAAGCGTCCACCGAAGGCGAGGCCATGAGCCCGCTTTGACGACAGAGCCGATCTGTGGCTCTTCTTTTGACATCGTAGTCCATTGTTTATAATTACTTTTGGCCGTGTGTAATTTTTGTAACAAAAACTTATTTATATTTAAAAGGCATGTATAAGAGACTTTTTTGAGACATTTATTCTTTTATGAATGAATGTACGTAATGATGATAATTATGGTAGTATTCGATACTATATAATTGTGAATGGATGGATAGACCCGGTGTGGTCAATATTGTACATGTTGCGTTTTGGGTAAAGCTCCTCGTACAAAGGAGACTATCCAAATTTTGTTAAGTTATGGATCTTGATAAATGGGATATAACGATGTGGTATCGAATTACATGGTATTTCACGGGTATTTCTCGGGTTGATAGGTGATTAATCGGGTAATTACAGACACAAGGATTTTGAGGTGTCACAAAAGGCGACCCAACTAAGTTTCACAAAAATAGAAAAATGATTTGTCATGAACTTTGAGAAATTTAGCTCAAAATTGATTAATTATTGATAATTTTTTAGATTTGAAAGAACATCGTGATTCACTCTAATGTATGATTGGATTTAAATATAATAAGAAAACATTATTTTTTTTTATCTTTTTTGCTCATAATATGAGAAGACTCCATGGAAATTGATTTTACTCTTACACATTGTGGTTTAATCTTTAATTCAAGTACATTTTATCGAGCTTGAACTACGAAGCTTTTTGTATCCATTATAATTTTTTTTTGGTAATAGTTTGCCCCTTCTAGGATGGGATCATGGTTCTGCCCCTATTGACCACATGTATGCTTGCATGGCCAGTGGGTTTTGATTAAACATGAAGTCTTTTTCTTTCTTTATTCCTTCCTGGTTGAACCCTAAGGAAGGCTATGAAGTGAAGGTAGGCGTAATGCCCCAAAATTCACCCTGGAAGGCATTACTATTTAAAAATCATCCAATCATGAGAGCAATTACAATAACCATTAAATCATAAACCATTCATCTATTTGACAAAAAATAAATACTAAAGCGAATAAAACAATGTAACTTCTCCAACTTACAATTTAAAAACAAATAGTATCTAGCAGTGGAATAATTAAACTAACTAAAACGTTGTTTCACAAAAATATCTCCAAGCATAATAATTAGAACTACATCTCTAAGCCTCCACTTCAGGATCTGACCCTCTCTAGCTTCAAGATCAACATGCTCATTAAATCCAAGCTCTTCCTCTAGACCATAATTTGAAAAAGATGTTTGTAGGGGGTGAGCACTAAGCTCTGTAGGAAAATCCTCCCAAGATCGAACGAGGTTTTGAAAACATATAAAACAAGTCGATCTCATTTTACAAAATATCATATATATAACTTTTCAAATAAAACAGTGACAGTTTATCAGATCTAAAGTTTAAATAGTAACAATCAAGGATCAAAATATCATTTCGGTGTATTATTTCAGTTACCTAGGAAACAGAAACGTTTCAACGTGTTTCGGAAATGTTTCGACATGTTTCGGAAACATAATGAAAAAAATAAAAAATTTAAGAATTATTTTTCTAAAACATTGATGAAAGTATATCAAAGTATCTTAAAATACCTTAAAACATTCTAAAACAATTGTACAAATTCATTGAAATATTGTAATACATTTAAAAACACTATGGAATACCTCGAAATATCAAAATTTTGATTTCATCACTGTTTCGTTTCGATCTCCTTGGAAACGGAAACGTTTCGGATATTTCGACAGTTTCGAAACGATATTTTGATCCTTGGTAACAATAAATTAAATGAAGTAAAATCAATATTACCACGTTTTCATCCATCTAGGCTTCCCATTACCAACATTGTATCTCAGGTATGTTGTAAGACTGAGCATGAATACACACATTGAGAATATCTTGGCCCACACACACACCCAATCCTCACAAGAATACACAACTTTAGGAAGGGCGTATACCGACGCATTGACAGTGACGAATCCAACTCAGGAATAGTATACTA